GGAAAAGAAAATGAAGACTACTATATCTCATTTAAGGTTTAAACCATTACCAAGAGTATTCTCAATCATATACCCCAAAATCCTGTCCCCATCAACCAGGCCTCCATTTTGACAGCAACTACTTACTACTGGTCGTGTTCATACATGAGGACTGTTAGGGGTTCATGGGTTGTTGGATGGACTAGATGGGTGAGTGCCTTTCAGTATATGGTTAGCTTACAAAGGGTAGCTTACAAGGGGTTTGCTGCACAACTCTGGGCCACTACATGGCTCTCTTGACATCCGAGTGGCAAAGAACCTGCTTGGAAGCTTCAAGCATCGTCTTCGTTTTGTTCGAGGCGTCAAACGGCAGGTATGCGTGCAAGATCCATTATGTTATGATGGTCTCTTGGTGTTTTTCCAGAAGACGTTGCTTAACTGTTTTCCTTCAGTAGGAACTTCTACAGGCTACCCTGCCATACCTTACTATGACTGTTGGGCGTGTGTATCGACAGCATCCCATCTACTCGGACTGGCACCTCTTTCAGGAGCAGTTCCCGCACGGCCTGACCGTGGAAATCAGTGGAGGCTTAAGCGAGGAAACTGCGCCGGAATACTTTAGCCATCTGTCTGCATTATCATCATGGGACTGCTGATGACGAGTAAGTACATCTAGGGTCCGAACCATGGGCCCCTAACATTTGCCCCTAACCCCTAGCTAGGGTACATAATATGCATACAGGCCCACCAAGATTATTGGCCCACACAAGGGGCCTTGGGTGAGAGTAAAGCAGATGTACCATGCATCATTTCAATCTTGACATTTCTATTTCCGAAACATACGTTCAAAAGCATATTATGAGCTACTGTCCAAGCTTCTTAAAACGGGCTACGTAAGCGAGTATATAGGGGAGTACTATCCGGCATACTAAGGGAGATACTAGGAGTTGAGACTATTGCTCAGCTGATTCCGCGAGCTGTACCTGTACCCAGGGGCAACAGGATATCTCTTATATCAACTTTCGTCATGTAAAGAAAGATCAGACTGCTGTGAAGCTGTTTCATCATTGCGAGCGGGGTCGCTGTGCAATACTGTGACTCAATTTCGTCATTTCGGGCAGGGGAAATCCACATAATTTGGTTCCTGCTTTGTACATGGTTCTTGGCAGTATCCATGATTCCAAGAATTTCCTTTGAGATGCAGGGTCCACTCACAAACATGGTCACACGTCGAGTATTTGGCATAGTTACAAGAGTCGTTCAAGATGTGAAATACAGAATGTGGACGCAACAGGAGATGTGATCATTTAGGCCTTGCAGGCATCAGTTGTACAGCAGCATGTGCAGAGAATTGCAGGCGAGCACGTTGATGTTCTGAGCTTCGGCAGCCTCACGCATGGCTATGGTGTCCTTGATTTCTCGTTGAAAGTCGTAGGATAATGTACTGAGCTCGAATTCATGGGAACAATCCCATATTGCCTTCCAGAGCGAAGGTCGAGCCAATCCGTTTTGAACCAATGAAGTTCTGCAGCTCCTACTTGTCCAGGTAGGCTCTCCGAAGTTTCGTCTCGTGTCACCGTGAACCTAAAAAAAGCAGATGTGGGGTAGTAAGACGCTTGGGAAGACTTCAGTTGGCAGGCTTGCTAACTGTAGTTATGGGCCTTATTGAGGGGCGCCCAGGGGGCAGTCCGTACACTTACTCTAATCCTCAAGCTTCTAGGTAGGAGGTACCTCGCAATTTGCAAAAGATGCAAGATTGAGGGCATTCTGCGTGTGCAGCCCATGAACACTGCGGGTTTAACAGCAAAAAGTGTAGCAGCGTGTCGCGCCAGAAATGTGCATCATGTGACTGGCATTTCGCCACACGGGGCCTTCATCACGGGTCCATGGGGAGCCCTGTCATCGTCCGTGTGCAGAGGCGGCACATGGATCAGCGCGAGGATTTGACATTGCCGTTTGGCTCAGGTGGTAAGCTTTTAACGCCTTCTCTGACCCACCTATTCACGGGTGGTAGGGGCAGAGCATTCTGAGCTGCTGGTGGAACACTTCCATGCCGAAATGTGAAAAAAAAAGCTGCATCAATGATTTTTAGCTGCATTGTGTCTTATGATATCAAGAAGAATCATCATATTTCCTGATGATTCTTACCGTTATCAGTCAGACCATCATAACTCCTGTTTCTACTATTCCCCTCCTTTGCTTTGATTCTGCGGGACATATCCCAGCGCCGGTGCCATGGCAAAAGGTCGACGTCCTGTCCTAAGCTTGTTTCGGGTGCTCTCAAACAGTCTCAAAGGGCACGGAAACACTAGTAAGCAGAAGAAGGGTAGCGAGAAGAAAGACCGATGGAGAATGTCAGTAGTCTTTGGAGACGAGTGATGAGCATGTCAAGGCTGACCATCTGCAAATTACATGCATATAGATAGATAGATAGATAGACAGATAGATAGATAGGTATATATATATATGTATATACATGCGTGGGTTCTGATCCTACCACAGCCGATGCGAGCCTTTCTGAGGTGGAGCCAGTCGATCTGCGGATTACTATGACGATTATGAGTACTACAGTGCTCCCAGCCGGTTTGGTCTTGGCATTGTGTCCTGCTTCCTTGGTCATAGCACAGAGCGATATTCCATGGTTCAGCTACACATTTTCACAGCTGAAAGCTGTTTTCAACCTCTGGTGCAAACTCACAGCTATGAATTTGATTGGTGTGTCGGCTGTGATGATTGCTGCATCATTTGCGCCGCAACCACTTGTCCACCTCCGCTCACCAGAAGCACGACAACCGTGACCATTGCCACCACCGTGCGACAACCACGACGACCACGACCACGACGACCATGAAAACGGACACTAGTAACTACTGCTACTGGTAACAGGAATGCTTCCTTCTAGCGCCAGTACATCTACCAGTGCTCGAAACTGTATTTAGATTGATATTAATGCTCGTATGAATGCTCATGCTTACTTTGTCCCCATTATTTGTACGAGTGCGTACTCATGTTGACGCTGATACAAACAGTAGAACGAGGGCTCATACTCATACGGAAGGTTAAATGCGAAGTATTAGATACTGGATGCTACAGACTAATAGCCTAATAGCCAACTATGATGTCAATAACAACATTCATGCTAGTACTGACCTATTCGAATACTGATGTCAAAGCCTTTTTACTGATGCTTCTGCTGCCAGCGTGTGGCTGAGCCTACTGCTGCAGCTACGACTCCTACTCCCACTCCTACTAGCCAGTGTGGGAGGCTACTACAGCGAGTCTCGTTCGCCTACCCCTCGACCTCGACGGGGCAAACGTGACCGTGGTGGACGTAGGCAAATTCATCACCTGCTACAGCAACTTGCACTAGCTGTCCATCCGTGAACATAGTATCCACAGCATGTTCACCAGCTGTACACATTTACCGTAGGGTGCGCCCGGCAGCTTAGACAGGAGGGATTCTTGGTGGCAACTTCGTGCCATGGGTTTGCGCGGGGAACAGTCTTCTGATAGCGGGGAACAGTCTTCTGATAGCTCATGCTTCTGGTGTGGAGGTTTAGGCTGCGGAAGTGGCCTCATAAATGAAGGCTCAGCAAGGAGTTCCTGACTGCTTGGCTAGAAGTTTCGTCTAGCCAGACCAGGGACTGGTTGTCAAAACCCGTGAGAACACGGCCCTTTAAAAAAGGAGCCATGATTTTGACAACCTTGCATCTAAGACATAGAAAGACTTGTAGCAAGAGGCGTCGCGATCGCAGTCGCTCCCGACGACGTGACCATCGTCAAAAGAATCGAGGCAGAGCAGCGAAGCAGTAGACATGCCATGGGTTCCTTATCATGGTGACCAAGTATAAGTCCCTTAACAGCAACTCGAATTAGTGAATGTTCCCTGGTCGGAGTTGATGCCAGTTATGGCTGATGTGATGATAGGGGCCACAAACGTATGAGGTACGGTAAAAGCTAAGAATCTCCCGCTACTCTAGACCTTGTTGAGGGATGGATTCTGCCAGCCTGCAACCTCTGCTCCAGGCCGCAGTCGCGAGAGGCGGGCACCAGGTCTGCATCCAAGTTGCCGATTAGCTTGTGCGAGGTAGAAGTAGGCAGTAGTAGAAGCAAACGTCTTGTCAGGTTTGTCATTCCAGCGAGGGCAGCAATAGTGCTTGTGGTACCGACGGCGGTGGTTGGGGGCACTGGAGAGCATCTGAAGTGAACCATTCCGATAGGGAGTCTTTTATAAAAAAAGTCAAAATGCTGTACTTGAGTGCTTCCCAGGTTTCCTGAGGTGGAACAGGAAGGAAGGCAACACCCATGCCAGCTACAGTTCCCTAAAATTGATGCTAGACCAGCACTGGAAATTGCAATGCAGGGAATCGGGGGGAAGGGGAGTCAGCGCGAGGGGGTGATAAGTTTTTATTCTGTGAGCAGCGCTGCAAGAACAAGAATCCCAGAGCTGTCGCATTGCAGCTCATAAATGCCCGTAGCTTTTAGAAGATGGGAAGCAAGTCCGAGTCACAGTTTTGTGTAGTGAGCATGCTTCAATGGTCAAGCTTACTTACGTTTCAGCTGTTCTTTGATCCAGGGCTTCCGCGTCTGAATTCGGCAGCGACTGAGCTGTCAACTAAGCCCAGTCAAAATTCTGGATTTGGTGATGCCAATCGCACAGTTTATGGGTGACCCCAGCTGGATGTTTAATCCGCAAATTGGCTTTAGTTCCCCCAACCCTGAACCCTAAATTTTCCCTTTGCTGCTGTGGACTCAACAGTCTCCTGCTTCCTGAGCCCTCAAAGGTCAAAACCAGGCACGCCGAGTCCTTGAAATCCGACTTAAACCCTTAACTTTTTTTGCTCCAAATCCGCGAGCACCCTGCATCTTTCACAGGAGGGCGCCCCCATTTTGAAGGCGGTCGGATGGGTGGCAGCATGCGCGATGCAAAGTCTGGGTCTCAGAGATAGATCTGAAGACAACTGAGGCGTTGTGAAAAGGATGGTCCTTGCTGGCTACCACAAGGTCTTGGGACTGTGCTACACAATCTACCCCAAGAGGCCCACAATTTGGACAGCTGCACATACGTGCTAAGACTAGGATTTTTGTCGTTTGCGGCGACAGACACCGACCCTCATCTGGCATATCTGCCCACAGGGCTCAGCAATCAGAAGCACGCTCGAATGGTATGACTAGCCACTGTGAAAAGCACCAAGAACTGAGAATGCTACCCGTTTTATACTGCTTATGTACCTGTACTGTGCCGTGCCCAGCAAGCCCAATCTGATTCTTTGCTTGCTAAAGCGTTTGAGTTGAATCTTAAGATTGCGACAAGCTTTGTAGACAGACGGTCGCTCAAGGCCTCAACAAGTCCACAGGGGTAGGTTTCAACTGTAAGGCAGAGGGCCCCGGCTGAACCGAAGAACCCATGCAGAAGAGAGGCAACGTGAGGGTCTCGAGCAGCCGCAGCTGCCAGCTGCAGCCAGCGCGCTTCAGAGGGCGGGCATGGCGGCATGCCTCTCATCTCAGACATGCTCCCGCCCAAGGATCCAAACAAAGTAGATGCAAAGCGGGCTTTTCATCGACTTGCGTGCAAGCCTGAAAACTGCTTGTTGTTTTTTTGTGTCTGCTACTACTAAGAAACTTATGTTCAGCATTCAGGTCCATGCCTTACTGCCAACCGGATGCGTTGGTGTGGATCCTTGAGGGGGTCTGAGTCTGACAAACTCCCAAAGACCCTGTTTGAGATGTCCAGGTGCGAGGCGTTTCTAAGAAGAACGTGAGCGGGCTGACGAGTACGGTCGGGGCTATCTTGACATACAATGCAATGAATCAGTCAGTTGAGGCTGGCATTTTGCGCATGAGTGTAGGAGAAGGCGGTGCAAGAGCCAATTAGGTCTTGCGAAATGGTAACCACTTCTGGCCTTCATGCTCATGCGGCACATGCGGCATCTACTCAAACATATGATTATGTACGGGTTTTTCAATACCCTCTGAAGCCATCTGAAGTCTAGCTGCCAGAGGGCTTACCTTGAAAGGGGGCATGAAGCTGTTCCCGCGAAATGCGCAGGGCAGCTGTTGCGCCGTGCTGCTGAGCGCTGTTTGCCTGTGTGCGCGGTAGTGCGGTAGCTGCAGACGCATGAGCTGCTGGGCGCTGGCAGGAGCGATTCGCGTAGGCACAACCGTTGTGACCTAACACGCACCTAAGAGGCCCTCTCACTATCAGGTTGGTATGGTACTGATTGGTGTAAGCTGTTGCGAAGCCAATCTCAGGTGTTTCCTTCTTTGAGTCCATACCAGGGAGGGCGAGCTTGCCATGCTATGCCATGCTGTCTCTTCTGAAGGTTTTGCTTTGCCTGCTTCATGCCTTGCTGCTATGCTTGGGTTTCGCAGCCCTCTCCTTCCTAGTCAGTTCTGTGCCTGAGCAAATAACCCTGTGCTTAAAGCAGGCGCTTTGCTGTCTGCGCTTGTGGCAGCTTGTGGCAGCTGCGGACGTATCGAGCATGCGCTGTGGATGTATCCAGACAGTGTGTGGCACGGAGCCATGGCAAGCTTGTAGCACAGTAGGCGGCAGTGGGCACAATGAAGATAGCTTCAGCGCATGGAGCTTCAAAGAAATGATGGCCGCACTTCCCAGGCGAACTCCCAGCCGGGATGGAGAGCCATCAAATGCCTTGGGCTAAGCTCTGCAGCACTCCGCAACTGCAGCCTTGCATCGGATTATTCAAGTGTCTGGATGACGAGCCACGCATCGAGGCTTATGTCTGGAACGCGTTGGTTGACCGCGAGAAGGCTCGCATAGTGCGGCGCCCTGCTTTGTGCCAGGTTAACGCGTTGTCCAGCGGCCGTTCGAGCGACACGTATCGTGCCAGCTCGGGATGCCTTAAGATAAAGCTCCTTCAGATCTTCGACTCCGCCTTGTGCATGACTCCTCCAGCAGAATGGAGTCCAGTCAATAGTAATGGTGCTCGTGCTGAGGACCGCAACTTCTCAGAAGCAGACAGAATCCGTGACGATTTGCGTGACCGAGGTCGGTCAGGGAGTGGATGCTGTGTTTTTTGAGTGAGGTATCGCGCATCGCCAAGCTTTCATTTGTGAGTGAAATTTAGGATCTGCAAAGCCAAGTACCTAGTACTGTATTCTGGCTCATTTCGGCTGTGTCCAGGGTTGGGTTCGGGGCCTCTGGATTTTCAAGAAGTGTATGACAGTTCTTGAATCTTGCAGGGGATGTGCCGACAAAATTATGTACAGATTTCGTGAGAGGTCTCTCTGGTAGTTGCTCTGACCGCAATCTCTCTTCTTTGTTGTTTGAACGCACCGATGTTTCGAATCTGGAGCATACTCCTGTAGTGTGTGGAAACTGCTTCTTTTTTGGTCGCCTTAAAGTCTGGCACACGTCATGCCAGGCATTGAGATCTACGACCGAGAGCGCCGGTGGGAGGCATGAAATTCAGTCCTTGGAGGTTCTCTAACTGATGATACCATTACTACTGTTACTATGAGAACGGTTCGTATTACTATCATTATTATAACTAATCCTGTTAGAATCGTCTTTTGCATTGCCGGCAGTGATAGGAGAAGTCAGCGGTGGTGGTGGTGGTGGTGGTGGCGGCGGCGGCGGCGGCGGCGGTGGTGGTGTGGTAGAAGAAGTAGTAGTAGGAGGTGGTGTCGCAGGGAGGAGGAACTGTCATCCTGACAACTGCCTGGCTTCTGGATTGTATCGGGACTTTGAGATGATTTGCCATCAGATCATATTTCTGTTCTTACTCAGACATTTGTATGCCAGTCAGAGGAAAGCTCGGCTGCATCCAGGCGAAAGATGGACGAGTAGGTCAGCGGCCGAATCATGATGACAAGAAGAAAGATGACGACTGACAGCTGCCATGAACTAGTTCTTGACGGCATGCGCCTGATCATGGTCGCTTTGTGGCAGGGCCTTTTACCAGGGACCTTCGTTGATGTGTAGGTACCATGACCTTGGCACATGCCTCATAGCAGGTAGCAGCATGCTGGCATCAAGTCAAATTGGAAGTATGTCAAGGGGCATGCAGTCTGAAATTTCCGGCTTCGAATACCACACGGCAAAGCGCTCTTCTCTAGCAAGGAAGTGATACACAGCCAGCTGCTGTACGGGCTAGCAGCAGTCTGCCGTCCATCTACGGGCTACTGAAGAAAGACCGAAGCGTATGAGCCGTCACCAAAAGAAGAGTGATCATGCCTCCAACCCGTGGAAGCCCAAACCCGAATTACTCCTCAACTCTCAGTCCGGACTCTTGAACTTCAATGTCGGGTCCTACATCCCACAAAGGAAAAGGCGATGTATATAAGACCCGCATGGCTTATGCAAAGCACGTGGCTTTTGTTGGCTTCAAATACCACTTCATGCATAGACATAGCCTTGAAAGCAGCAATGAGTGCAGTTCTTTGACACTAACTGTTTGTCTCACTACAGGGCCTTTCCCCGCAGCAAGGATGCCGCAAACAGGAAGCATGAATCCGCAAGATCTTTGCCTCTTCTACAACCCGCGGGACCATGGATGTCCCTTATCCATTCCTTGCACAGACTTCAATCCCGATGACGCGGATTCCTCAATTTTGAGAAGGCCCTTGGAGCGGCTCCTTATGCAATCGTGGCAGAGCCTAAGCCTGTTTGTGTGTGTACAATGTGCCAAAATGTCCGTAAGAAATGGGATCCAGTCTTACTTGATGCAGGGAAGGTATGTATAACCAATCTTTTCGTAGTGCTCCTTCTTGTTAACTTTCTCGTCACATGTTTGAATTGAGTATTATATTCTATCAGGCTTGCTGATGAAATCCATTTTCATTCTGTGTGGCTCTTACTGATACGTGGTTGACAGGCACCATGAAGTTATCGCCATGAGTAGAGTTCTGGTTGCCTTACGCCCGGGGCCCAAATCCCTAAAACCAGATCCCTAAGACCTCAATCTTGAACTTTTCAGTGCCCAGACCGTAAAGGTAGACCTTTGTTTTTGCTGCTTCTTACTTGGACCGGCTCGAGCCCTGCCCTGGGGGAGCGTCGGCTAAGCAAAGCCTGGCGTTCCCAAAAGGCTTGGGTCCGGGCCTTGTTTGCAGGGTTGGATGAGGTGCGGGGTTCAGCATGTGGAGGAGTCGGGGGGTTGTGGTGTTGAGGGTGCGGGTTCGGACGTGGGGGGTTGAGCGCTTACGGTTGCGGGATCAACAGTTAGGATTTTGGGGTTTCAGGCATTCGTGACATTCAGGTTCGGACAGAAGGGTGTGTACTGTTTTACGGGGCTTTTCAAAGTGACGCCATTTTGCATGGAGCCAGAATTAAAACGTAAAACCCACACCCTAGATCCTTATATGAACACAGTTTCCCTTTCATTGTTAATTTCATTTTTTATTTGACTCCGTTTTTGGGGCAGTAGCCCTATACAACCCCTAGAGTCCATACATAAACCCTGTAATCCCCATTTTTGGGGTGATATCCAAAATCCCAAGTATCCTTAAATCAGATCCTCTCAAAGCGGAGTTAATTCTTGTATAGCCTGCCCTGCTGGCGTTACTCATACCTAGTAGGGAAGAAGGGAATCGATTATATAGTTATATAGGGATATATAGGGATTATATCGGGGTTATATAGAGATTAAATAGGGATTATCTAGGGATTATCTAGAGATTGTATAGGGACTATATAGAGATTATATAAGGATTATGTAGGGATTTATAGGGATTACATAGGGATTCTATAGGGGTTATCTAGAGATTGTATAGGGATTGTAGAGAGATTATACAGGGATTGTACTAGGGGTTATATAGTGATTCTATTCCCTTAGTCCTTACTAAGAACCAGTAAGCTGATGGCTGAGGCCGAGCCGGAGGCATGTTCCGAAGGCCTTCGCCGTGGTGGCTTTAGGGTTTGTAGTCCCCTGAAGTATAGGGTTTAGGGTTTAGGGGGTTATATTGGGATGATATTGGGATAATGGAAAAGAACACGGAAACTACTATTTAGGGTTTAGGGTTTAGGGTCTATAGTCCCCCCCCAAAGCCATATTCTCTCTACTGAAGGGGGACTATGGGGTAGCTGGGTTTGGGTCTAGGCTTTGCGAGTTGATAGTTGACGTTGCAGGCTTCGTGCACGGCAACGAACGCTTGGTGTTTGTTGTTTGTGGCGGTTTGTTTGATACATATTTGTTGAGCCTAGCAAGCCTTTCTTTGGTTGTTTCTTTAATTATTTTTGGGCTTGGTGTGGAGGGTTGGGATTGGGTTAGCCGCTGCCGGCAGTGAATCAGCGGTTTGGTCGCATCAGAGGACATAATTTCTTCAACAGCAGAAGTAAATGTTTCATGCGGGCTTGTGATTTGTAGTATATCAGTGATCGGTCCTCGAGGCTGAGCGCGACAATGGATTACACTCTGAACGGCGGAAGCACAAAGCAAGTGCAGTATTGAGTCACGTTCCTAAGTGCATTCGGAGCTTAAAGAAGTTTTAAGCATGGAGAATCGGCTTACCAATAGACACCATGCAGCACAAGGACGAGTGCTTTCAGCACAATTGGAGCTCAATTGCAAGCACAATGCATCAGCTGAAGTACGCAGAAGGACACTGTATTGAGCCCTGCCACAAAAAGCACAATCTAGGCTCAACAGTTGAAGCACAAATATGAGTCATACTGTGCTCTGTTTGCGCTTCGGATTGTGACAGTTGCTCCGGCAAGTAGGATTGGCAAGAGTTAGAGCTTCGAGGATATCGGCGATGCCGTTCTTTGGGGTCGGGGATGCTGTGGTTGAAACTTTTGGATAGAATAGTTGTAGCTAAAATGTGGAATGAATCTCTAATATTCCTGCAGGAGGTAAGACGTTTGGTATCAGAAAATCATGGGAGATCTTACATTTCCTGACCAGCACAACAAACACGAACACCATTTGCATCTTCAGCAGGAGTAGACTGAATGATCTGCATCGACACCTTTGGAAAACAATATTGTTTTTGAGTTGAGATCGCCATCTGACGGGTTCTTGTTCAGAAAAACCCACCACGAGAGCAAGCCGTTGTACTCTTTGATACTAGCTATTCTACACTTGTAACAACACATACCTGACATGTGGAACGTAACTACTTTCGACTATTTCAAGATTATCGGACTTGCCTTGCCAGTACATAGCTTTTGAAGAGACAATGAGGGCCTTGTGGACAAGAGGCTCTCTCCTATCATCTCAAGAACAAAAGGGCTTCTGAAAGATTGTTTAGGGCTTAGGATTTAGGGTTTCGGGGGTGCACGTTTGGGCATCACAGGTCAGCAATGCCCCCTGGACAAGTTTCAAAGGTGCTTAGCCAAAATGGCTAGGTACATGGGGGGTGGGCTAGATCTACACAGATTGTTCGAGTAAGCAGTCGTCGTTTGATAACAATGTCTTCAAGCTGCGGTAGCTGGGGTCCCCTTACTAGCCTTCACATATGCCAAAAACGCTGAATCCTCATCATAAAGAGCACAGGTCGCGAACACGTCGTACCGCTGAACAATATTCAACCCCAGCCCCAAATCTTCAACCCTGCTTCGTCAGAACAATCATGGCAACACCCAAGCCCCACCAACACTACTGGAATCTAAGGGCATAGTACCCAGGACTGAGCCGGAGGTGGATATTCCAAAAAAGCGATGCATACTAAGAACACTTGCAACCTGGTTATTTTCTCACACGATCGCTGCGCACTCGATAGAATCCTAAACCCTCAACCATGTAGCCCAGAAGGCGATGCATCTAGACTTCCGCTGGGCGCCTGGCGCCCGCGTGAGGTCGGGTGTCCTCTGAAAAGGTTTATCGTGAAGGGGTTTTAGGGCTTCAGGTTAGGAGTCAGGAGCTGCGGTTTTACGTTTGAGGCATGAACGGCTGTGCGGTTTGGAGCTCTTAGGCAACGAGCGGTGTTTTTTTCAGTCTCCCTGGCAGTCCCCTGGTGCTTGTCACGATTGAATGGGAACAAACCCTGCAAAACATGTGCCTAGATAGCATATCCTAGGAGTTTTGAATTTTGAAGCCCTTTGATGTTCAGGGAGTGGTGTTGTAAGGAGCGGAGCAGGTTAAGGCAGTCCTGTTTCTTGACTGCTGGCTCCTGCTGCTTAAATCCTACACTGTCCTCGCTAGGAAACTCTAAGCTGCCGTGCAGGCTAAACTTCTCCAGGACTTCGGGTGACAAGGCTCTGCTGCAGTGCAACATTGGTGAAACTTTTCAGGATTCAGGAGCAGTGATACGGGTATTGGCCTGAGCCAGGTTGTGTATGCTATGGAAAGCCACAAAGATAGCGGGATTTGTCCCGGCAAATGGCAGCTCTCGTAGTCAGACTACGCCAACAAAGCCGGCCGCAGATTGATGGCCTCCCCTTGAGTTGAAATCCGCCAGGCAAGTCCAGATGAAGGCGGGCCCCCTGCTTCTGGTTGGCAATTGAAGGATATTGGCATGTTGGTGAGAATTTGAATGACAAATTTCTAGAAGATCCATGTTGGGGTTTTTATAGCGTTAGAAAGCCTAATCCAGAAAATCCTCGAGAACCCCGCGCAAAAAACTCTGAGACCCACTGCAAAGCCCGCAAGCCCATCACAGGATGCAGATGGCTGGAAGACAGATTTGTCGCAGGCCGACATGGAGGCGGGACAAGGAGTAGACAACTCAGTAAAAATAGTAATAGCACTAATAGTCATTTTATGACTAATAATAGTAACCATAGCAATAATAGTACTAATGATGATGATAATAGGTCGCAATATTCATCACTTGCGCTCGCGCGCGTCAATGATCAGCGGAGAGGATGGTTGCTGGGAGCCCTCGTACCGAAAGGAATCCCTGGAGGTGTAAAAGATCATTTCGATTCGTGGCCGATTGTCGTCTTTTCTTCTTATCTTTTCTTTACACTCTGCTTCTTCTTCATCTTCTCTCTTTTAGTATATCTTTTAGATTCCGGTAGGGCCACACATGTGGGGTTATCCGGTTCTTTAATTTCCATTATCCTGTTCGTATATTATTACCTTTATGTTATTCTTATTATCATTTCTATTACTATTGGTACTACCATTGTTACCATTATCACAATTACTATTAGTACTACTATTACCATAATTCCTATTCTTCTCAAGTCTTGATAGCATTATGACAAGTACTTGTCAGCCAGGCGCCGGTTCCCAAGATGCCCGCTGGCATCACTTCTGCCGAGTCCTTCGGCTGTGCGCCGAAGCGTCGCGCCTTTTGAGGGTTAAGGGGTGCTGAGGGCTCAGGATTCAGGGCTTGAGGTAAGGGGATGTAGGGGTTTCAGGGTTTATGGTTCAGGGTTTCGGGATAATCTAGGGTTCAGAGCTTTTGGGCTAGCGCGATTTTTCTCAGAGCTGGAGAGCAGAGCCTTCGTGTTCAAGACCTGCAGTGGCTGAACGTCAGCGGCTCATCGCAGCCTTCGTACGACTGAGCTGAAAATCACCGCTGCAGTTTGTCTGAATGGATTTCATCCCGCAAGGCTCAGAATAGGTAGAGGTTCCATCGCGCTGTGCTTCCATGAGGGGCTGAAGGACACTTGTTGGCAAAGGGTGCCTCAAAAACATTCTATTTGTACTTGCAGAAGGGGATTTCATTCCGGATGTCTGCGATGACGGCGCTGCTCTTCCAGCCCCGGGCAGGCCAGGAACTGCTGCCTTACATTCGTATTACTAGTGGTACTTGTAGTGATATTACTGTTATGCATTTTTCTCTTATTATCATTTTTGGGCTCAAAGCCTGCCGCACGGCAGGCGCGGGCAAGGTGGCCCAGAAGCTCTCCCGAGCCCCGTGGGCCGTCATGGAGAAGACCTCCGTGCCCCGACCAGCTTCTGCTCCTTGGCATCGCAGGCAGACTCCTTGCTTCTGGTCCCACTTGGGCGTGCTTCTGCGACTGGCTTTGATGCAAATTTCAGGTTCCTATGTGTGGCCAGATGATCCCAGTCTACGCAAAGGCCTGCACTGCAGACATCGCAGACACATCTTCAGTGTGACCACGAACGAAGAGCTGTCCTGACAGCACTCAAATCTCAGCTGCTATGGCTGCAGGTGGCACCGGCACTGCCAACGCTTCTTGGCAGGGCGACCCCCTGCCCTGTGGAGGAGCCGCAGAAGGAGGAAGCTCCGCGCTCCGTTTGTTGCCAGGCCGGTCGCAGAGCATGGCGGTGCACCGCCGGGAAGCCACAAAGCCTGATCCCCTGTGTTGCAGGAGATAGACAAGAGATGGGACTACTTCTTGCCAGGACCGGGCTGCCACATGCAAGTGGCCCTCCCAGTGCAAGGGGTGATGCTCTCGCTGCGTTGCAGGAGTTCGTGCGGGCTCACAGACGCTGGGCATGACAGGGTTCGAGCCGAGTGCGGAGTCCATGGCCGCTTGGAGTGGAGCTAAAGATCAGGGATCAGACCTCAATGATGCAAAGCTGCACATGAACGGAGGGGAATGCTGATGCCAGCAAAGCGTCATATGCGTCATGGGATGTAAGGGTAAGGCATCTTTGGGCGCGTTTTTGAGTCACGTGTTGGGGTTAGCAGTCAGTCCAGCTATCTTTTGTTTTTCGGAGCTTAAGCTACACATGGAGCACCTGTCCGACTTTTGCCTGGTAGAAGTGAGGAACAACACGGGAACAAAGCTCTTCACACTGTGATTTCTGCCCCCGCCTCCCCCCCCCAGGCCGAGCTGCTCACTCCGAAGGAGTTCCGAGACGCAGCTCAGCTAGAAAGCCGCATCATGCAGTATCCAAAGAGGGCCTGTCCTGCATGCGTGTAATCAACGTCTGCATTTTGGGTCTGAGGCCCTTTACTAGGTTTCCCGATTTGAGTAACATGAACCGCGCGACATTACACGATGCCCGCGTGGATGATGATCTTCTCTTGCCATATTGTCAGCAAAGGTGCCCGAGTTGCGTGCTGTTTCAACTCATGTTCAGTCTTTACGGCTAGGTGTTTCGGCTGCGCGCGAGACTGCCGCGCCCTCAAGCGAGAGATTGTCCATGATGCTTGCTACGCGCTATGCGGCAAGCAGTGAAGGGCGCAACTGCTCGCTGAGGAGGCGATTTGACAAAATGGAGAAGAGATACAAGGAGCACTTGAGCATTTACAAATCGTCGTGCGGCCTGGCTTGATGGTAAGCGGGGAAGGGATGCCTGAAGGACTTGCAATTTTTTTCGAGAGCCACCTTTTGGTAGCATTCCCTTGGCTTGCAAGCCGAATTCATGCAAATGGCACTGAGGCTACCGGCCAACGAAGTTCTGTGCGATTGCCGAGGACTACGAGCTGAAGATCCAACAGGCCGTACAAATCCACATTCCGATTCCTCAACGACCTCTGCAAGCACCTGACGCTTGGCAAATTCAGTTTAGGGATGTTTCAATGTCATCGGGCCCCTAAAGACTGTGCTGACGAGCGACCACAGGTCCCTGACTGGCAAGCCTTTGATGGGGCCAAGCGTGCATATCTGGATCAACGCCGCGGACAAGTTGCAGGCAATGAAAATTGCCAAGTTGTGCCGCCCAACAGCCCCAGGTGGAGAGCTAGTACAAAGGGACCCTGGATGATGCAGTCGCCAACGGCATCTGCAGCTGCGACCCTGCAGGCCTTCTGATGATGTACGTGTTGAAGATGGTGCCCACCTCGGACAAGAGCCGCTTCTACGCCTTCGGCCGCGTGTTCTCCAGCACTATCGCCACCGGCCAGAAGGTGCGCATTCAGGGCCCATACTACAAGCCAGCCAGCAAGGAGGACCTGCGTGTGAAGAACATGCAGCGAGCCGTGCTGATGATGGGCCGCGCCACTGAGCAGATCCAGGGTGTACCATACGGCAGCACGGTGGCACTGATGGGTGTCGACCAGTAAATCTGGAAGTCCGGTACCATTACCACCGTGGAGGATGCCCGCGACGTCCATGTCCGATCCTCTGTCTACGGAGGAGAGTGGAGAGCACGTGATCGCAGGCTGCGGCGAGCTAAGGATTTGAAGGATGAGTATGCCCAGTGCGACTTCATCCTGTCCGACCCCGTGGTGTCTCACCGTGAGACTGTGAGCGAGACTTCCCGCGGCCAAGTCGCCCAACAAGCACAACCGCATCTACTTGCAAGCGGAGCCCATGGACGAGGAGCTCAACAAGGCCATCGAGGATGGTGCTGCTGGTCCCAAACCCGGCCCCAAGGAGCGAGCAAAGTTTTTGATGGAGAAGTTTGAGTGGGACAAGCAGGTTGCGCAGACCAAGATTTGGTGCTATGGCCCTGAGACCGATGGTGCCAACCTCGTTGTGGACTCTACCGTGGGTGTGCAGTACCTCATTGAGATCAAGGAGCACGTGAACAGTGCGTTTCAGTGGGCCACAAAGGAAGGTCCTCTGTGTGAGGAGAACATGCGAGGCATTTGTTTGATTGAGATGAGTTGCAGGTTGCAGAAGGCCGCCAGCAGACCTTCGCCCTGGCAGAGTCTTCGTGTAGAACCAGGTGGAAGGCGCCGGATCTAAGACAGGCCAAGACGTCAACAGCGCCCAGGCGTTTTTTCAGTGCGTCTGCGATCACTTGGAGAACCCGCAGGGCAAGCCCTTGAAGAAAGGCAGCAAGATGAAGGGGACTGGGCATCCGCAAGCAGAAGAACTTCAACGTGGAGATGGCAGGGCGACCTGTCACACGCGGAGCCCGGTTGAAAAAGGGTTGGGCGCTCCGCACCCGAATTCTGTCATAGCAACATGCGACACAGCAGAATTTGGGGGCTAGGATTGCAGGGCTAGGGCTAGGGCTCCAGGCTTAGATGCAAGGTCATCCTGGTGGTAGCAGCATAGGGATTTCCATGGTTGATGGTTCTTGCACTTCACGAAAGCTGGCAGAGTTAAACCGGGGAAAGCTTCAATTTTGATGCTCTGACTTGGATGGAGTACGTCCGATGGTCTTTGATATGCTGTATCCTTGTATGTCCCTTTACATGTACCCGTTTATAAATTTGTGCATATATATATTTATGTATACCTCTATATCATATATCTACATAGCCGTTTTTAGAGAGTCGCCCCCACAACAACCCAAATCCCCCCTTCAAACGCGTTCCATGCTACATGGGATTTATTATTTGGGGAGGTGCGGAGTATTGACCGGAGTATTGACCAGTGTTGCAAAGCAAGTTGCCTAGTTTCTTGGGCTTCCGCTCCTTGGTGCCGCCCTTTGTCTTGCCCGCTCTCCCTAAGTTGCTAGAGCCAAAGCTAGCCCTAAACCCTGAGCCATGACGTCCCCTTGTAGCACCTTCCTGGATTCGGATGCATTCCTAACACCATGCTGTCACAGACGCCTCCTCAAAGGCTGAGTCTACTTCCCTGAGCTTCCAGCATATTGCTGGAGGGGCATCAGATCACCGGCGCTGAATTGTTAAGCAAATAACGCGCTTTAGAGACAGTTCCAATGCCTGCATGCGAGAAGTCCTACACGCTCTCTTCTTACAAGCAGAACCTTTGCTCCTGCCCGCGCAGTCGCGGAGGTATCGAGATGCTAGGGGTGCTCCCTCCGCCGGAGAAAGGCTCCTAGCCCGCGTCATACATTAACACAAAGTTTGGGATGTGGAGGTCAGCATTATAGAGTTTGGGTGGTAGTACGGTGGCTTGCTTTGCTTGACTTATTGGCTGGAAGGCAGCGAATAGAGGAGTGGATTCCCCGAAGTAATCTTCTCTAATGTCCTTGTATTTAATCTGCTTGGATCGGTAAACCTCCTACACAACCGCCATTTACGTTCAGGTGTTTGGGGATTCAGGGATGTCGTGTTCGCAGGTTTCGTCTTGTGATTTCTCGTTTCCCAGGGTAAGTCAGTCTTGCGTTACTGATTGACTTCAGAGGTGAGTAGTATTTGCATTGGGGATGCTAGGGGGCGATAGTGGTTATATAGGGGATATGTTAGGGATATATTGGGGTGATATAGGGGATATAATAGTTTCCCCAACGGAAGGTAAGATTGTACTATCCCCTCCGCTATCGGCAATCATCCTTTATAAGAAGGGCCTAACTTCATTTGGGTCTCTTGTTCTTTCCCATCCTTAGGACTGTATAAATGTAACCCTAGCTCCCGTTATGTCTTCAAGTTTCTTTTCGATTCCACTTTCCGTTATCGTGCTAATATCCCAAAAGCCCTAGACCCTCAATGATGTAGTGCTTTCATGTGCTTTCCCGTTTGTTGTCCATTCCCTTCTTTATCCTTATTGCTAAAACCATAAACCGTATGAGCTATGCGTCAGCGAAGCTTGGGAGCAGCTACTTCTTGCAAGTTTGGTTTTGGGAGCTCATGTGAATAAAACTATGGGCAATTCAGGAGTGCACCATGGCTTCGGTCAATCCCCACCTGTAGGTGGTTCTCTTTCTTGAGTTTGTATGATAAGGATGTAGTAAACAGTTGTCCATATTCAGGCCCTCTTTATTCATGGAAACAGACGTCTGAATCACCAAGCCACCACAATCGGGACATTACCAGACAAGATGTGTTTGAAACCTTCTTGGACGCCTTCGCATAATTTGCTGATTTCAACTGTGCTTGCTGACATCGGTCCAAGTGTTGCCACGCTTTCGGCAGTGTTTGCTGCCACTGCAAGAGTGAGCTACTTTCAGGCACTGCTTCCAAAAAGTTACCTGAGTCTGTAACTGCAATTTGCGTTTTCCGTTAATGTCCGCCCCCTGCTATTTGAGTGCTGTATACTCAATCCCCAACTTGCCGCCCTTCAACGCAGCCTCCTGACAAGTTTACATTGCTGGGCACTTCACAGATATCCCGGTCAGCTTTCATTGTTTGAGATCAGCTGCAAAAAAGGCCCCTGAAGCGCAAGCCTTCAGCCTTCAATGCAGACTCATATGATGCCTTTCAACTACGATGGTGCAGCAGTCCTGGTACTGATGTACCTACTACTGGTATGTTTTTTATGTTTTTTCTTGTTGCCTGCTGTGTCTGTTGCGAATCTTCAGTGGCTTGTGCTTGCTCGACTTAGTGATATTGTTTCATTGACAGAGAACATCCCGGGGAACGCCTCGCACAACCCTAGAATATTTCAGAGCCTGAGGGCTCCTTCCTTTTTGGGTTATTGTCGGCTGTGTGTTTTAACTTTCAGTAGTACCCAATAAGGAACACAGAGTTGAAACCGTTGATAGTATTCCGGTAATTAACCAGAGTGCTGCCTGAGGTTGGCAGAGGCAAGGAAAATCGGCCGATGGCAAGGCTGCGCCAGGGCCTCGTAGAGTTGCAAGCCGTTGGCTTGCCGAGTCTCTTAGAGCCTGGGGACATTAAAGTGTTAATCCCAAGCACTCGCGTTTTTTTTTGGGACCTTGGCCCCAAGTCTTAACTTCATGGGAATGGGGTTGAAAGAGTTTGTTTGGAAGGCTCTGTGGTTTACTGGGCTGAGGTTGTGTTGTCTGTGGGGGTAGGGGCTTCTCAACCCAAGTGACATTCTTTAATGTGTTGTTCTTTGTCACAACTGTGTGTCTTCTTCACTTGGAACTTTCAGAAAATTCGAGATTCATAGAACATAGTGCAGCCATTGCAAGATGAGATGAAAAGACTTGCCACAGTCGACCATCCCAACCCTCCAGAGGCTGCAAGCAGCATCGCAGCTTTACATCTCTATGCAACCGATCGGGTTGGAAATCGTGAGCGCTTCCACCCAAACCCTAAACCGCAAGTCCTAGGTGGCTGGCAAACAAGCTGGCGCCGGATTGGATCTTCAACATGACCGAGGAGAAGTGCCTCGATTAAACTTTCAATCAACCACACAACCCATCCAATGTAGCATTCTGCCAAGACATCAGGACAAAGACTGGGGATGCACTTTTTCTGTGGTCATGGAAGGCTTACATTGAAAGAGTCTGTTTCATCATGCAGGTTCCTGCATCACGCAGTGGCCCAGCTCCAAAAATTCTGCCCTAAACCCGAGCTCACAATCGGTGTGTTCAAATCCCAGGCTTGGTTTGGTATCGTATAGGCAGCGAAAAACCCGTGAACAACAGTTCAGTCAAGTGTGGTATCTCCTACGTCTGAAATGCTGTTCCTGTTCTTGTTAGTATAATCATTCTACTAGTACTACTCGTACTATTACTGCTGCAGCTGCTGCTACTACTGCTACTGCTACTATTACTACTACTACTACTGCTGCTACTACTACTACTACTACCACCACCACCACTACAGGTACCACCATCATCATGATCATCATTACATCGCAGGTACTACCATGCGCCGAGCAAGAGCTGGTGGGAGAAACGACCCCTCGCGTTTGCCTGGCTCCGTTTTCTCTTGGTTGTCAGGTGGAGGGTTTAGGGTTTAGGGTTAGGGCTTAAGGTGGAACCCCCGACCCTTTAACTTACTGGGTTCTTAGTAGGGAAAAGGGGAACGTAGAATATAGAGATTATATAGGTATTTAATTCTATTATTCTCTACTAAGAACCAGTAAGGTAATAGTTGTATGATGGGATTATACGAGGACCCGAATATGATCACATCAGGCCTTATTGTGACTATTTCTGGGTAAAGGGTTCCGCCTTAGGTGAATCCCCAAACAGGACAAACCAAAACCCTAAAAAAACTCTAAAACCCTAAACCCTGCACCCTCTCAGAGCCCCTAGATCCCTGAACAGTCCCCCGGGAGCGAGGCTCTGCCCTATGTGTGAGTCTCCAGGAATCCATCCCATTTTTGAGCCTGAGGCTGAGCTGTAGCTATGTTAGGAGGTCCTCAGTTTTTTTGCATTATCAAAGGAGTCATCTCTACAACTATTAAACGTCTAAAGCGTTCATTTCTGCGGATTTCTCTGCGGGCCTTTGGCAGGTCCCAGGATCCAAAGGCGCCACCCTATACTTACGTGCGCACCGACGCCTTCCACCTGGAGGTGCAGGGTTCTGCAGGATTGGCATGATCTTCTTACCCAACAACATAGTTTCCATTTCTTTTCCTAGAGGATACCTTTCATAGAGGCTTATGTGCCCCTTACAAAGTCCCCAGATTTCCCAGATCCCAATTTAGCTGCTAATCCCGCCCTTAGATACCCCTTACATAAGCTCATGAGTGAGGATTGTGGCTTACTGTGGGGATTCATGGGGCTATGTAATGCAGAATAGCGCATATCAGCGGTATTTCTTGGATTTAGGTATGACAGTCTAAAATTTGCGGAGCAGAGTCAGATCCTCTTGAGTATTTCTGTGTGTGCGCTCTTTTGGGGGTTTGGTATTCAGAGGGTATAAGGAATCTATTGTGTTGAGGAGCGTTCCATATTCCGGAAGGGATGAATAAGAATGGAGGACCCGCAGTCAGAGTTGCAAGGCTAACATAGAAAATAAGAGCAAGAAGGGCATATGATAGTCGTCGTAGCGCTTCTTCTTTGGGTATTGAATTAGCGCTCATTTGACGCTGCTACTGCTGCCGCTGCTGCTGCTACTACTACTATTACTATTACGACGGATAATAATAATAGTAATCATAGTACTACTAATCTATGTGGGTCTCGGGATTCCCAGCTGATAGTTTCTCATCAGGCCTGGATTAAGTTTGTTTCGTACCGGGCATTCAAGGAGAACTGCGGGCTTCCCAGACCGTCGATGCAATTGCTGCGATCATCACATGTGGGTGGCTTAAACTCCAAAACAAAAAAACCCCTTCACCGTACCGTTGTGTCTAGGTTGAAGCTCCTGCTCTTCAACCCTGCAAGCACTACGATCAACTGCTCTGAATCTCGAGATGAGAACAATAGACCCGAATCTGTGAATATGCCAAGCCAAATCAGAACCACTCATCATGATCTTGAAAAGGGGAAGCTCAAGCCTTACTACGCAAGCCTGGCCTCAAGCTTCGCATCATTGGCCCTTAGCATGGGCTCCTTGAGGCCTATGCGAGGCACCTGAGGACCTAAAGATATTGCAAAGCTCCAACTGAAGGCTCTGCGACACTTTGCTGCCTCGTTGGACTCTGGGGCTTTGCCTGGCGCCCTTACATGTAGTCAGGAGGGATAATCATTGCAGTTATGCTGAACCTCTGTCAAGGGTTCATACTGGATGCCGGTCAGAAACAGTCATATCAGTGATCAGAGCAGTGACGGTGTGACCACAGGAATGAGACAGAAACAGCGAATGTTGGATCCATTTGGAGGGCTTATCATGTTTTGCCTACCATGGAAGCTGTGTTCGGAGGAAATTGCAAAAGTTGTTTGCGCTGGACCCTGAACCCTACACCATGCAGTCCTAGCAGCCGCTGCTGGTTTCAGGCAGATTGCATATGGGAACCTTGAGTCGCCCAACCATCATCAGGCCCAACAGCGGCATAGATAGAATCTACAACATGGGTACTCCAGTCCCCTGGCAACATGAGCTCTGGAAAGATCGAAGAGCCCAAGGTTCTTTGCCTACCCTTAGCTTCCAAAACCCCCCAAAGTCTCCCAACCCCTGCCCCCCACAAGCCTTCAACGGTAAATTTAATCCGGCGACATGTGGCGCGGGGCTTTGCTGGGCGCGGGCGCGCTTGGTGCTGAGCTGACCTGCCCTGCAGGTCCCGGTGGCGAGGCACAGGGAATGACGATGGAGATGATGAGGATGATAATGAGGAGGAGGATCGGAAAACATCATGTTGAGTAGTAACAATATGATGGCACATACTGCCAGTCATGCAGCCACAACGCGGGCCGTCCAAGAAATAATGATAAGAATGAAGGTGTCAGTGGAAGGCAAATATGTGGATCCTGAGAACCTAGCCAATGAATTGGGCAGGGCCCGTGGGATGGTGCCGTAGTGTTGGTATCAGACTTCTGCAGAATTGTGATGATGGCTGCTCTTCTTGTTTCTCTTTGCATTTTTGTGTTTCCCTGAGGCATGCCGCGCGGCTGCTGCCCCAAGCTGGCGAAGCTTCGAGCGCTGCGCGATCCCCGCTGGGGACGACTTAGGAGAGCCTTTGCTGGTCACCTTGGCCGAGGCCAAGGACCACTGCGAAGCCCAGGAATCATGCGCGGCCTTCACCTTTGAAGGCGACGATGTGCGTGGCCCGCTGTCGGGGAACCCTGTGTGGGTTCACTTCAAGACTGCCTTTGACTGCGTTGATGCGCCTTGGGTTGCCTGGAGAAAGGTCCGGGGAGTCGATTCGAGGGCTCCCGGGCCTCCTCCAGACTCAGAGGACTCAGAGGGCGACTCAGAGGGCTCCCGGGCACTCTCCCCTTTCACTGGGACTGGAACTGGTGTGGCACTCTGCTTGCTTGGGCAGGTGCGAATGCTTTCCCACACGCACGTGGCCTTGGAGCAACACCTTCTGCAGGTCTTGCAGCCAGATGTTTTCTTGTATGGACCACGTGGTTCAGAGGAGGAGCCAGCCCCAGAACTGTACAGCCTGCGAGATTATGTTGTGGAAGAGAGGTGGGAAGTGGAGAGCATCCGTGATAACCTTTACGCGGACACGCACGACGCGAGCCGAGTAATCGACTTGGAGTACGTGCAGGTGTGGGTTTCCCAAGATGATGGTCCTAGCTTCTCCAACTGCCAAGAATCCAAGCCCTGGTTCTATGCGGCACATGCCATAGCCCTAACACTACGGAGCAATCTTGTTTTCTTAAGATCCGTTTTTTTTTTCACATGCTTCACTTTGCCACATAAACAGCGTGGATCGTTGGGACCACTACCATGTAGTTGCTACTGGCAGCCAGAGGGTCTTGGAAACTACCAGCATAAGGGCTCCCTATGATCCATAAAGCCGTCCTCGCTGTCTATGCCATCAAAATTGTGTTTTCTCGGAATTGGAGGGCCGAAAAAATCGTGAATCTCAACACAAGACCCGCTGCTAAGACATCGCCCTTGTCTACCAACTCCCCATGTTATACGTTCTGAAGCTGCCCAGGTGCAGGGAAATTGGTTCGGCAGCCAGTGCTTAGAGCCGCCGCTGAGGGACAACCGGCCGGGCAGCGCGATTTGCTGGTACCTCGTGGATTCCCTGATTTTGCAAGGTTTGTTTATGCTATGAGTCAGAAACAGCCAAGATGATAGCTTCCTCTTCGGCCTTAACTCTGGGAGGAAGAATCCGAGGTAACACAGGTATTTTTAACTCTTTTAGATTCACGACCAACCAGAACCGAGGTATTACAGCCAACACAAGTGCCTGGAGATGATCCAGAAGAAGGAGATTGGGTGGTGATGTAATTGAGATTTGCCGATTAAAGATTGAAGGGGGCCCCCTATAAATCAAACCTTTTGACTTACCTGAAGTCAGGTCCCTCTTCCAGTTGTTTAAGAGCTTCCTGTGCAATTTCTCCAACCATCCATGAACTTGCCACCCTCCCCTTTCCAGGAGATGGAAAGAGGGCCCTACCAATGGGTCGCTATCTCGCGGTTTGATTTCAGCTGGCTGGCACCCCATCCGCCGCTGGAACTCTTGCGGTCTGACGTAGTGTCTTGGCCTACTTAGGATTAAAAGATTTATAAGACTACCAGAGTACCATGTCCAATGGTTACACCCGTAGTTGTAACAAGTGCAGCATGTGGTACCTGGCATTCGAGAGCGTGAGATCCAACAGATGGCAAGATAACAATTTTGATTCCGTGGAGATGTCTGGGCAATAGTCTACTTGGTCTTACCTTCAGACATGGAGGTGGTATGCCACTTCCTCCCTTCCCTTGCTCACGTCCAGATGGGGCCTTTGGTCTTAGCATGGCACAGATAATTATGGGATAGTTTATTCACTTTGCCATGGTCAAGCCATCACTTCTAGTACCTTGAACACCGTAAACTTTTTCAACACTGTATCCTTTTTCAGCTTGATTGAAATACCACGAAACGTGTCGAAGGTTCCCTGAGGGTCTGTTGAGTCTGTTGTTAACGTCAGAGAGTTTCGGTAGAGGCCTAAGTGATTAGTAAGATTCTCCCCTTGCGATTCATTACCCTGTAAAACCCCCTAGTTTCCCATGTCACAATTCTCAGGCCGCTACATACAATGCCGGTAAACTCCTTTATGTCAAAGCGGCTTCCATTTCATTTTTGGTCTAATTTTACGTGGAATTCTCCACTCTTCTAGGTATAGTAGGCCCCTAAAGACTGCCCTAAACCCTACATGACGTCTTTCCAAGGTGTGGATTCCTTCTGGAAGCGATTGGGAGGGTGGCATCAACGACCGTCACGCCGTGATGCCACGTAGGCATGCCGACGCCTCTCGGCTTGGGAGAATGGAAAAGACAATGGAACATGAAATGGAAAATGGGATTATATAGGGAATTATAGGGGAATATATTGGGGTTGTAAAGGGATGAGGGAAAAGAGAATGGAAGCTACTATGGTATATTGGAGTATATATTGGGATATTATATTCTTACTTGCTGTAAGTAAGTACTATATTTGATACTGGAAAAGAAAATGGAAACTACTATCATGGGTTTGATCGGATTTTTTGTTTTATAGGGTTGTATAGGGATGATGAAAAAGAAAATGGAAACTATTGTAGTATGTCGGGGCACATATTGTGGTTATGGTAGGGAATAAGGGGATATATTCTACAGGGATTATAGGACATATTCTTTTATCCCCCCATATGGTTTTGGCATATTTGTAGGGTCCCAGAGGGAGCAGAAGGGTTCTTTTTTCAGGTCGGTTTCACAATTTGATTACCTCAGCCCTTGCTAGGGGCTTGTGAAGTGTTGTGGAGGCCAGCAATGGGTGGTCAAGCATGCGGCCCATGTTTGGTTTCGTGGAATATTTTAACTTTACCATGTGGTTTAGCGACTGTCTTCTGGAGGATTGTGCGTTATGTTGCCGACACGGCTCTAGTGGTGAATCTGTAAGTGCTGAACAATTTCTGAGCCTAGGCCTATCTGAGCTCCTGGAAGCTCCTAACCTCCGGCCGCGCAAAGGACGTTATTCGGGATTGCATCATGGTTTCCTGTGCTACAGAAATCGGATTCCGCACAAGAAGGGGTAAAGTATTTATGGGTTTCGAGGAAGGGGACCCTCACTTTTGGAAATGTTCAAATAGGACTAGCAGTACTCATTGCAGTAGCAGTCATGAGCAGCAAAGTCAGCGAGAAACCGTTGCTACACCCTCGCTCACTCTATGTGGGATTGCGGTCGGTGTAAATGATTAAAAACAGAGTACATGATGTCGTTGCGTGCAGGACGTCATGCTTGAGACGTTGGGGGCTATGAAGGTCAGCGGCTACCCAGGCCCCACCAGCCTGCCAACAATTCGGCACGGGCAAAAGTGACAGGGTTTTGCTAGACGTAGGCTTATTTTTGACAGGAAAGCGCAATCCGCCCAAGCGTAGTCGTTTAGTTTTATAAAACCCATAGGCGTCAAGCGACCACTCTCAGGTATTAAGCCCAAACGTAGCATTTCAAGTCTTCCAATCCTAGCCCGAAACCGCAAAGGGTGCCCCATAAAGGCCCCAACACGGAGAACTTCCTCAAGGCACGGCTTCACTTCTTCGAGGTGGACTACGAGCGCTTCCCGCATCTCGATACATCTTGGGTGTTCAAAGGGCTTTTGTAGAGCATACTGATTGCCAGTACGCCTTCCATGACAACTCCTACTGCTATCACCACCACCGCCGCCACCACTACCGCCAGCGCTAGTGTTGCTAGTATACTACTACGATTACAGGTACATCTGGAAGGAATTTCTGTTTAACGTGCGTGTTTTTCCCAAGAATGATAGGAATGTGGCCTATCTCACGTGCTCACATCGTTCCAAGAGTCGCTGGACTCAGTGCTTTGGGACGGCTTCTAACGATGCTCCTGGTTGGCTGTACAAGGCCGCGCGGTTTGTACACAAGCACTTTTAGTCGGTGTTTAGAGGTTCAGCTCCCAAACTAAAGAAACGCAGATTTAACATGCCCCCTTGAGGAAGAGATGGAGCATGCCACGCGCATCGCGCAGTGCGTGCGCTCTTCCTGGAACAAGAGAAAGATGGAGGACTGTGCGGAGGATATTTCGCATTTGTACCGAGGATTTCGCTGAGCTTGAAAACAGCGATGATGCTTACAGTTAATGGATGACATGGTCTGCAATGAGTGGCCAGCTCTTCGGAAAGGAGTCCAAGCGCTGATTAGGAAGAGCCATCGTTATAGTCGAGTAGTGTGGATGTTGCTCTGCTCTCCTCCTGTTGGCCAGTATTTCTAAAGACAAAATGAATGTTACCCGATCACGCGAGCGGACGAAGGGTTTTGCACATGAGGCCTCTCGCCTGGCAATCCTGGACCCTCTACGTCAAGTGCGGCCCCCATCGTACAGATTGAGTGAGAAGCAGGTTGGAGTAGGGAGAAACAGGATCCCGGCAGTTGTATGGCTTGCTTTTCATAAGGGTGAGTCTATTTCGTCTCGGGAACGTATGGTAACTCGTTGTCCAAGGTTGACTACTGAAGACAGCTTGGCGACTGCTAGTTTTGCCGGAGTGTGGCCCTCCTTCATTCTTTGTCGTGTCTAACCACTACTATTACTGTAGCTTTCTGCAGTTTGATGATGTACTGCTGTTGTCATTTGAAGCAGGAGGCGGCGACGGTGATTGGCGTTGTCTTTTCGTTGTCGTTGTCCTCATGTGGTTGTGGCTGCCATGGTGGCGATGGTGGCGGCGGCGGTGGTGGATATATTCCTATCATGACATGAGACTAAATGATGGGTTCTCATTGTTATGCTTCTACAAGCATATGTGTCATGCTTGAGCAGGAAGAAGAAGGCGGCAGTTCAGGCGGGCTTGACCTTTCTTGAAGCCGCATTTTGGCTGTGGTACCCTTCAGAACCTGGCAGGTGGAGCATTTTAACGGGTACCCAAACGAATTTTGAGAATTGAGGTGGAACAATCCATCATAGCATTAAATCTTATCGGGCCGGGCGGGCTTGAGTGGCCAAGTATAAAACCTCGTGAATCCTGAATTTGGCTTGGACATGGCTTTCTTCAAATCGCGTATCTCTCATGAAGTCCTTTCCTTTGGATACCCCCGCTATCCGCACAGAAAAGAAGCATTCATCCGATGTCCAAGTCTAAATGTTTATTAGTAGGAGGTGTGGAGGCTGGCTATATTAGGAAGGACAGCCTAGTTACAAAGTTTCAGCTGATTCTCCGTTACTGGAGGAATTCCTCATGTGGGGAAGGTGCTTACCTGGGACGAAGGCTGCTCCAAAACTATGGGTCCCTCTTTGGGGGAGCAGAGGGATTTCAGGGGTTTACAGTCAGGGTGTAGGTTTGCACAAGACAGCTCCTAAAATCCCCTTCCCCAACCCCCATCCCTCCCTATACTTACCCCTCCTAGGACCCCGCTCAATTGAGCTTATTAAAGGAGAATGGGGACTAACAAAGTTCAATTACGGGCGAACATAAGGGGGTAGTACAGAAGGGGGTTGGTTAACAGAACCCAAAAGACAGAGCCCTCAATACGTTGAGCGCTAAAGCCAAGGCCCTCAAGCTCAAAGTAGGGTTTATTGGACCCTTCAAACAGGGAGGGTTTAGACTGTGAGTAGAGAATGGAGGAGAAGATGGAAGCTACAGCATCTATCGGATTTAGATATGTAGGGGCCCAAATAGCTGCACACATTAAGAAACAAGTGAAACAGAATATGGAACATGAAATGGAAATTGGTTTGTATGCCAGTCCGCTATTTCCTGTGAAGCCCATGGCTCACTTCTGTTTGTCTGACTGAGCACCAGTGATTTGTAGGGATCTCTGCAAAGTTCAAGCCCGAGAACACTTTGCTTACATGATCCTAGACCCTAAACCTTAAACTCTTAAAACCAGGCTATGACATATGCCTCCCCAAACAAACTTGCTTATATAACCAGTCATAATGGTTTCCATTTTCTTTTTCACTCCATCATTCCCAGCTAACCAAAGGTAAGCAAAAGCCACCAGAACATCATCAATCCGAAGCCTTCTGCCAGATCGCCGCCGCTCCGGTGGTGGAAGAAGTCCCGCAGTTGGAAGATGCAGGTGCCATGTAGCTCAATCATGAACGGATAAGACGCTGTGGGGATGAGCTTGTGTGAAGACTTAGACAGGCGTTCCAATGGTGGTCTTTCCAGGGCTTGCATAGGCTTATTGACTCCGCTTTTTAGCCTTTAAACCCTGGCGATCTTTGTCTGGGTTCCTTTCCAGCGCGTGTTCTTGTCTTCTGCCGACCTAAGCGCAAAGAATTTTCAGAGTGTTTAGATTCCAATGGTACAGATGAACACGGATTTCATGTTTTGACGGCAACGTGTAATCTTCAGGGCCTATGGAGATCCCTCGATTTGAGCCTGCAAGTTCCAAATCTTGAGCCCAAAGCCCTGCAATCATTGGTTAAGGAGGCTGCAGTTGAGCATGAGGAAATTCAGACGGATCTCGGCACTTGATGAAGCAGCTTGAGATTTACCAACCAACAAGTAAACCCCTAAACCCTAGACCCTAAAGCTAAGTTCTGATGCGAGGCGTGGAGCTGCCTGCTGAAGTTCCAAGGCGCCCTGTGCTCCTGCTGCGGGTCACACTGTTTCTTGACTAGTAGTGGGAGGAGTAGTATGACTACAGTAGCAAAAATCATGGATCCACGAGGGCCCACAGTCAGGCATCCACGCTTGCGTGGTGGGGATCATTTGTCAACACACCAAATCATAGTTCGTAGATCCATTTTGAAGGATGAGTGGGAACCTCGAACGACGCGATAAGGAGCCCGTGCTTGGAACCCACATACATCACGAAACTTGGCAAACTCTAGAAGGCACTCTAGGCCTTCCCCGAGCTTCTTTCAGGCCTTCTGCCAGACTTACCATCAACGTAGAGTTCAACCGTAGTTCAACCAAAAGGCTCCTCCTCATTACTTTTGCCGGGAAGGCTTTATGTCCTGATGCTGCCGCTCTGAATCTTTATTGCGACAGGTGTCATCACCTGATGCCAATGTTGTGCTACTACCTTCTCCGCTTTCTTACTTCTACTCGCAAGTCTTGCCTGTAGTTGGTGGGTTCTACATGGCTGTATCTGTAGTTTTAGTTGTATATGCGCTTATTTTTTCCATGCCGCTTCTTGTGCTACTGATCCTTGCCGTGCTCTGATCCTTTCATTGTTACAGTCGGTATGGTGGAGGCATCTGCTGCCAATCTTAAGGCAGTACGATAGCAGCATATAACAGCGGGATGCTGTGGGGTCTCAGCCTTTTAGTTATATTTACGCTCAGTCGTGTATGTTCTGCTACTACATCATGTTATGCCTTGTTGTTGTTTGAGGCATAGTCCATATACTCAATTACTGCCTTTAGTTCTTCCCAAGTGGATAGCGGACGAAGCGTGGCAGACCAGAATATGTGTTTCAAACTCGCCTACGGCTAGCAGAAGAGTCCGATGAGTCTGAAAAGAAAACCTAAACCTTCCTGTGTGAGCCTGAACCCAAACTCCCAATCTTGAGCCCTAAACCCCCAATCCTCAACCCTAAACCGCCAGTCCTTGAACAAAAACCCTAACCTCTTGATCCTCAATCCTAAGCTTCAACTCCCAATCCTTAGCCCCCAATCCTCAACTCTAAACCCTCAACCCTACACTTTACTACTATTATTATTATTACTATTATTATTATTATTTTTACACTGTACAACGTTGTGCCCCCATCCATCCAGGCTCGAGGAGCTGGAGCCCAAGCTGCCACAGATGCCAGGCCCAGTATATAGAGGTTATATAGGGATAATGGAAAAGAAAATGGAAACTAGGGGAGAAATCATTGGACGTGTCTGGCAAAAATCAAGAAGGTTTCCCCAATATTAAAGTAGCTTCCATTTTCTTTTCCATTATCCCCAATATATACCCCGATATATACCCTATAGTCCCTATATAACCCCTAGATAACCCCTATAATTTTGAACTTGGAGAGTGGATTACCCAATTCAATTTTGGCTAGTCCATACAGAGGTTTCAGGTGTCGTGCATCTCTGTTCATATGCATTGGTCTATTGATAGGTTTCATGAGAGGTGACCCCCCAATAGAAATGATAAAGCAGCCCAGCAGTCATCCTGACGAGACAATTCCGCCATCATCGCTGCCATCGCGAACGCGCCGGATGACGAGGAGGAGGAGGAAGAAGAGGAGGAGGAAGCGGAAGAAGAAGAGCCAGGATCTTGGTAGGCTTGTGACTGCAGAAGGTTGTCTCTGCCGCTTCAATGTTCCATTGGTAAAGATTCTTGTTTTGATTTGTCGACGCGCCTCAGGTCAACGCCGCAGCCCGCCAAAATGCCAGTCAGTGCCTTTTCAGGGCATGCAGCAGCATAGCATAGCGTAGCACATGGGGAGATAAATGTCTGTTGCGTGAAGGGCTTCCATTGGTGGCTGACAAAGTTGACAGGCGGTGAGCGGAGACGTCGCTCAAACAGAACTGCTTGTTTGCACAGCAGATGCTTGAGTGGTGTAGGTGCCGGAATACATGCCGAAATGATGCTGTCATAGCTTTGTACAGTTGTTCTTCGAACCCATCGCACATCCCATGAAAAACAAGCCCTGCGAACTTTTTCATGGCTCTCTATGCCTCTACGCTCAAGGCCAAAAGCAAGAAGAGGGGCACCGGACTCAGAGACTTCCGCGTCGATCTTCTGTTGCAGGGTGAGAATGGAATCTAGTTTGAAAAGTAGTAGGGGCGTGATGGGGCATGGCAATCGGAATTACTGCAGCACCTGTAGCGGCATTTGTAGCAGCTGTAGGGGTCAGTACTCCTGAAATACATGCTACAAAGGCTCCTCAGGCCAGCAGTCTTCTCAAGGCTGGTGCTTCTGCTTCCGTGCGCGGGCACCCGTGCAGTCGGAGTCTGAAAGCGAACAGGAAGAGGCCTTGACGCGACTTGCAAGGGGAGTTTTGGGCTCAGGTGAATGTGGGTTAGTGGGACTGAATGCTAGATCTGTGTATGCGGGGTGGGAGGGTGTGCAGGTTCGGGGGATCCAGAGCTCTGTATGGGGTGGTTGAGGAATGTGCCGCGGGGTTCACAAAACCAAGGCCTCAAGGAAGGCTCAGGATACT